TCTTCTGTTACAAACACCGCTAACTTGAATGGAGTGAAAAACAATAAGTCAGGACAAACGATCCTTCAACCTTACAGTTCAACGCAAAAGGGATCTAACATTAGTACGCTGACTGGTGGGTGCCCGAACGTACCCGAATCAGCAGTTATCACATTGCAAGGTAAATTGTCCGGCGACCTAAACCAATGTTAGTTACTGTACTTTCTAATGTAAGCAAAAGCCAAACACACAAAGTTAGTAGGAATTATTCGTCTTCCAAACTCTGCACACTTTTGCGAGCCCAGACTTATTAGAGTAACAGGGGAATCTTTAACTGATATTGAACACGTTCTTTATCCGCAAACGCGCTGTAACATTGGTCATGTAAGATATGTATCTATCCTGATGTTCCGTGGAACAGGTGACAGTCGAAAACACACTCCGAAACAGGATAGAGCAAGCCTGACCGCCTAAACACTATCTTAATCCGTGATGTGCTAGAGCTTATTTCACACGATAGTCAAGAGACCGGAAATCACGCCTTAGAGCAATGGTGATTCATCCGCGAAACAATTTCTTTGGATAATGTTGTGGCCTGTTGGTTCACGAACTTTGCACTCTTGCAAAATTATAGAGGATGCGGCCTGAGAAGCCTAAAACTCGTGATTCAATCCGAGCAAGCAGCGACGGATGTGTTACATACTGGGCGCCAAACTCGAGAAAGCTTTCCATTGGAACTTCCATTAAGGACTGCAGATGTTTTGAAACGTCCAGTTACGCACTCATTTGAAAAAGCAGATGTACCGGCGATGGTTACTTCTTTACTCGATACAGACGGAGATCTGGATGAGGGTTGGGACACGCTTTGGCTAGAGCAAGGCTCGAAAGTAGTATTGCTATCGCTTCAAAAAATGAATAGCGGCCGACCTCACATTGGTCGGCACTCCCACACACTTGAGTCCCTGTGGTCTACTACTGTGAAATAAGTCGCTGACTCGCAAGAGTAAGGTCGGGGGTTCGAATCCGGCATGATTCGGCGGGTGCGCGCTACTGACGAGTCCCAGTAGGACGAAACGGCTGTCTAGCGCTTTCCTGGATGTGTGGTGGCTGTCTGCCTACGTCCAACTGCGACGTATCTATAAAGAGCCAGATAAACTAGCCTGTTTGTACACAACTGCTCAGGTCCTCTTCAGTAAGCTGACTGAACTATATGATCACCAAGTTTCCCAGAAATGTGATATCGACTTCAAGGAGACGTGTTGCTACACTGAAATGACAGACACGGCAATTATGCTACTTGGCATGTTACCCATTCGGAACGACAGACTGACAAAAGGAGAAGGTGTATTTCTGTATTACCGAAGCGACTTACCGGGCGAGGTCATGGAGGATCCAAGTTCGCTGATTCCTTATTCGCTTTAATGCCCTTGCAGCTAAGAGGCAGATACATTAGCCTTATAGCCTCGGTATACCATCCCGACAAATCTACATCTGAAACGGACTACCAAATCGCGACTGCCCTACAGCGAACTCTAAAAGAAAGATCCAATCACATCTTGACCATGGGTGCATTGGTTAGAAACCTCTGCCACGAGTGGAGCACAATTTAAAGCCAATCTGCAGGAGCTTTTGACCACTGTTCCGCTTTATAATTATGGCACCTCACTCCCTCAGTTCAGAGCAGGTAATAGGCCATCAGTGCTTGACCTTGCGCTTAAGAACGAAGAACATATGATTGACTGCCCGTTAGGTCGCAGTGATCATGAATTTATTAGTTTCAAGTTGCTCTGTTACGCAGAATACCGAGATGCGGACTACGAGACGACGCGAACCATCACATGCTGCGATTCATTAGGCCCCATTGGCTGTGCCACAACCTGGCCGTTTGTCGCCGAAGACCCCCGGATGTCGCCTGGCTCGAGTTCGTAAACCAATTCAATTTTCTGGTTACGGCTGCTTTAGAGACAAAGTTTGCAAACGGCCTGAAACTGTTACTTGCGTAAGGAGCAAAACTCAAAAATGGCTGGCAGTATGCAATGCAGCGTGGCGAGAGTATCGATTTTCCACAACACCGGAAAGCTGGGATGACTAGGTAGCCCAAAGAAAGCACTGCACTCAACTGCTCAGAGAGGACAAAGCCGCGGATATAGCAGAACATGACACAAACCTTCAGCGCTAATCACAAACTGCTGTATAAGCACGTCAATAGTAAACGGAAGGTAAGGCAAGGAGTTCCGGCAATCACGACGGCTGATGGTCCAACACGAAAGGCTAGGCAAGCAGCAAACGCGTTCCGGATACAATATGTCCCCACCTTCCAGAGGGTGTTACCATCAGGAAATCCTCCAGCTTTATCGCTTTACCGCAAGGACTTACTCACATCTCCTTTACCACCGAAGGTGTCTTGCAGAAGCTGACCACTCTTCGCAAGCACAAATCCCCGTGTGTCGATACCATTCGCCCAGAGGCACTGGAAGCAGCAATAGGCCAAGTGGCAGCGCCACTGGCTCAATGCTTCCAGCGTTGCTTAGATCATAATCGTGTTCCATCTATGTGGAATCTTAAAATGCTAACACGCACTCACAAAGGTGGAACCAGAACCTAGGCTTCAAACTACCGCCCTGTATTCCTTCTCCCTATACTGTCCAATGTGATGGAATCCATCTTAACAGATGCGCTATTGGGCTATTTGAATAACTAAGATTATTATTTCTGAGCAGCACAGCTTCCGTCGAAATCGGTAGTGCACAACGAATCTGATAATAGCAAGGAGCAGCTAGACCCAGTCAGATGATGCTGGAGAGGATTTTGATGTGACCTGCTTTGATTTTTCGAAAACATGTGATCCACGTTTCCGAGCTATGGCGTTAATGGATAGGTGACCATCTTCTAACCTGGTTCGCCAACTATCTCCTTCGGCGGCAAGTGAAGGTCAGATTTCGGAGGTCAGATTTCGGATTTCGGTCAGATTTCGGTTCAGATTTCGGTCAGATTTCGGAAGGTCGATTTCGGAGCTCCTTCTCTTCTCCCACACAAGTTAAATGTAGTGTGCGTCAAGGCTCGTTGCTAGATCCCCGATTGTTTTGGTATTTAACAATGACCCCAGACAAGCAATTATATCTAAATATCTGTTGTTTGCCGATGACGTCAATGTTTGAGGCAAAGGTTTAGGCGAATACTGACCATAAACTGCTTCAGAGTTACCTGGACACGGTGTCGCAATGGCCCATCCAAAATGCCCTGCAATTCATTGTGGGTAACTGTAAAGTGCTTTCCATATGACATCAGAGTAACCACCGTTACAGACTCGGGACCCATGTTCTGCGACGAGTTGCCAGCAAACGAGATTTGGCGGCACTGTTGCAGAAGGAACTGGGTTGTTTCATGCAATCCGTGAAAGCCTCTAAAACGGGTAACCAACCTGTCTGCATGTTACCACGGGCGTTCAGACAAATAGATCGCTCTATTTTCCGGAAGATAGTTAGTGCGTATGTTCATCCTCATGTCGATTAGGCAATTTAAGCCTAGCGCCATGTCTAAAGCACAACCATAGTGCATTACAGCAACCCAAGTGCGAGCGTAAAAGTATCTTGTTGCGATGTACCATCTTCTATACGAGGAGATGTTGGAACGATTGGGGATATTCAGCGAACGCTACCGTCACTTATGAGGTTAATTTATGATGTTGTACTTAATTTCGCACACTCCATATCGTGTGCCGCTCTGTACTGCAAGTCAACAGTAATAGCAACTAGAGAGGTCACTCATTAAAACTGGCAGCACAATACAGCGGCCTGGATTTCCACAGGAATTTCTTTTCCGTCCGCCTGTGTCTCCCGTGGAATGCTCTTCCAGAATCGGTCATTTCTGCAACATCAATACCCAGATTTAAAAGATCTTTGAATGACTTATTTAGCTACACTTTGTTGCCTAGTATTACCTCTTCATCCTACACCTGGAATATACTTTAACTTTATTTGCTGTTACGTTTTTTGTACCGTAAATCTACACGGATCGCAAGACTACAGCGATAAAAACCGTAAGTCCCTCTTTTAAAATAAATAACCGACTGCTTTTATTTTTCGATAACCCCGCAAAACCACCCGACGGAACATGTGAAGCATTTCTGTTTAGCCCGGATAAGTACATTGTTCGTTGTTCAAAGCATAAAGAGAAAGACGACGTTCAGATGCCGCAGACCAGAACAAAACTTCTTACACAGTTGCAACCGGATGGAACCTTTCAAGGTTTTACTGTCCTCTTTGCACGGAGGGCATGCCAATCTTTTCTTTGTGGTACCAATATTATTATATGTTCCGTAGAAGCGAGTGTTTGTTACGTAAATGATTTTAGAGGACAACTAGCGCAGTGTCTTTTCTCGCGGCTAATCTATGACATTGCTCAGTCCAATGGTAAGGTTCCAGGTGGAAGCCATGGATAAAAAATCATGCAGGCACGACACATTCAATCCGGATAATTAATTGTAAGGAACTCCGTCAAAGTGATTTGACTTCGCTTTTAGGATTAGCAACTGTTATATTAACAAGTGATTAAAATGTAAAATGGATGAAGGAAGATTATCTTTTTTAAAAGCGAATTTACTTACAGGTAGTACCGAAGAAGGCCTGGAAGTGGATGTGGCAAAATCCATCATTGTTATTTTCGGTTTATTCACGCAATATCCCATCCAACAATGGAAGCAAATGGTGGGGAGGCACGGTTTGTTTGTTCTAACCATCACTCATTTTCAAATATTCCACCAAATGCCTGGCGCTCAGTAACTAAGAAATCGTTTAAAATGTAGGGATTGCTCGTCTCTTCAACTTGTTTACCTGTGAGCCTTTTGTACATAAGCATCACCAGAACAGATGTTTGAATGACAGCCGGTTTCTGTTGGTGTGTTTTGGTCCTTGGCTCTCAGAATTTATGCATACCGATTTTTGACCGTGGGCTATTGTTAGGTACTGTGTTCCCCTAATTCTTGTTGAGAAGTCTGTTTTAAATGTTAATGTCACTTTCAGCTGTTCATATACGAAACCTATTCAACAAGAACATCCGGAATATTCCTTGTGTTTCCGATGGGATTAACCTGGCAACCAACCCAGTCAATCGAATGACTAGGGCGGTAAGTATTTTCCGGTGCACAGACATACCTCGTTTTCATATCACTCTATAACAGCGTCCCCGGAAAGGCAGGTGTCAGTTATCGACATAAAACTCACTTTTCAAATTGCTAATGTCCGTTTTAATAGAATATATTGGACAGCATGTAAAGAATTGTTGCTATAAATTCACTTCGCTTTAACATGCCACAGGATAAGTTTGCTTCATTATTTATCGGTGAACACACAGAAGGCCAAAATCTGTCAGTGATGAGGGAGGGCCTAACGCCAAACAGACGGGCTCAGGCCAGTGTAGCTACCGTCACAAATGCGCCACCGATTCAGGGATAAGATGTGACTCAGTTGGAGAGATTTTTTCTGTATCGTTGTTGCGGTGGACAGTGTAGCGCATATCTGAAACATAACACAAATCTGCATCCACGGGTTTTGGCTGATTTTAGAACTGAGATAGGCTGCGCTTGAAATTCATATAGGATACCAGCATAGACGATTTGGGGATGTACAAAGTTTGGTAAAATTTATCTACTAGCTTTGTACAAACGGGGCGATATCTACTGTTATCGGATTGCCCAAATTTATGGCTCTCAAGATATTCCATGGCATCTATGTTGCTTTTTCATGATTTTCGTATTATTTCATTATTCGCATATTATTTTCATATATAATTTTATGTTTCCTTTTTGGTTTATATATGCTTTACATATTATTTCATTAAAGATTGCAAACCAACATTTCGAACTGTTTTGTGTGAAATAGCAAAAGACCTATCTTCTTTTGCTACCGTTCACCTTGATTTGTTAATCAAAATTTCCTCTTCCACCAGCTTTATGAGTATGATGGCGCGTTAGCCAATTTCCAAACATATGAATATATCGTAAAGAAGCTTCGTATAGCACGCTGTCAAACCTGGTGCTATGTGATGATGATTGAAAACACTATACCTAAGCTACAGAGACACGGGGCAGGCAAAGCTTTACATATCGGTTAACGACTTGTTGGAGGGTCCTTTTTAAGTACTTGTGTAAATGGACTGTGACGCGCAATCGCAATAAGGACCGCGATTAACACTGAAGGAAACAATTGTTATTTCTCGCACTGAGACAGAAACTGAGGGAATAGATGAATTTAGTGCGTCACCGTCTGCAATCTCTACCTGCTGAAATCAAGCAACTTCAATACCTATTTTGGAGTTTAATGTTGCCGGGCGCCCAGCACTCTACGACTATTGTCTTCATCTGTTACTATTTCAGCGATCGGAATGACAAAGGTTCACATCATTGCGAATGACAGTCCATGTTGATATTGTGCTTGCTAATCCATTCACACAACGACTGCTTTAAAATGAACCGTTCAATCGAAAATACTGTCCTTTTAGCTCACTCTCTCTGAGCAATACTGACTTGTGTCACTTGTGTTGACACCTACTGCCATCTGTAAGAGGCTAGTTGGGTATACCTAAGTGGACTAAGTTGTTTTCGCTTGAAAAATTTATTGCGTGCTTTATGGATAGTCTCGAGTGCAATGCTGACAGTTATGAGCTAACTTGGCCCTTACATAAGCAGGCAATTTCAACAACATGGATAAGAAAACCAAAGGTTGGTGTTAGCAAACATACGCCAGTACAATTATATACCAATCATATAAGACAGACTGCTGAGGTCAGTAAAAAGAGGGAAAACCAGGCTAATAAAATGCGCTTACAACTTCTGCTGTTATAGGCTTTTTAACGCTGATGATTGATAAGCATCCTGTTCCGTCCGTTGACTGGAGTGCGTTGGTTAAAGTTATGTTAATCAGCCTTTAACGAATGAGGATGTGAAAGCCAGAGGAATATAGCAAAAAAATTACGTAACAAATTAAGTTTGCTAGAAATGATGTTGCAGAAAAGTTATGTGCTTTTACTTCTCTGTGCAGGAGCCGGCCCGTAGCCTTAAGGATTATGGGGCTGCCTTGTAACCTGAGGGCGCGTGTTCGTGTCTGTGTAAGGACCGAGCGACTCTGGCAGTATGCTTAGCTCAAGCGTGACTGTTGGTGGTTGCGTGGTATCGAAGCGTCGTTACTGCTTAGTGGCGCACTACTGATGACCTTTTTGTGAAGAATAAGTCAAACTCCAGCTAAACATCTTGACCATATATGGTGGGTTTTCCTTCTAACGGAGCAGTCCAATACTAGCATGCATGCAGAGCTAGAAAATACCTAGACAGATCTCAAACGGTGCTCGGAGTTGATCTTCTTGCGACGGTGCACCCTGGTTACATGTACAGTACAGTGTACAGTAGTCTATACAAGTACAGACTACTTAAAAGGTAAGTGTTGCAATTTTGACAGCCTTCTTAACTGGGGAAGCGAACGATTTGTTATATCTCAACAACTCCAACTGCCTCCTGTAGGCAGCGAAACAGTACATAATTTTCTGAAGTATATACTTCCTGAGCAGATTATTTTCCTTGTCCTTGAATATTGTGCTGATGTTTTTAAGGCCCCTTGCTACTGGAGGCGTAGGCAGCAACACAAAATCGTTGATTTATGGAGCCCTGCCTGTATTACTATGGTGCTAGTAAAATAATCCAGCAAATTTGGTGCAACTGCTGGCACTTCTGTGGAATTGAAGATTATAGGAAAAGTAAAACTTGAAGTGATGCTGCAATGGACGCTCTTGTGTGATCCCCTTCAGTTTGGCTACCGTAGTTCGAGTTCTATCCTAATGTCTGTGGACTGCGTCATACATGCTGGGCTGTTATCGCAGGACAACAAGAAGAAGTTCCTTCGAATCTAAGATCTTGAATGTAGAGTAACGCATTTGGATGTGTTAACCGCGATGTTCTGTTCAATAGTCTGCACAGTGACGGAATTTATCCTACTATGGTCTCCTTGCTAGGACGTTATTTTGCTGAACGCACTGAGATTATCTGACTTGGTGTCGGATGCTGCTCCCTCTAATCACCAACGCTTGGGTCTTTCAGGGAGCCTTTCTGTTACCTTTCTTATTTTCTGTTTATTTCGGCTCGGTACCAGTCCCAGATTAGCCAAAACCACTAAAGTACGCAGACGATGTCTGCGTATCAAACACGGGACCACTAACTGATCAGTCAGGCTGCAACTAATTCTTAAGGATCTTATAGTATGATACAAGTATGGTAATCTGTCACCTCACGCATCAGAGTACTATGGTATGTTTTCACGGCATCAAGGGGCTCCTTACGCTGCGTGTTAAGCCCCAAATTTACCCTGAAGGACTGCGCTATTCTGCATTATTGCAGTATTTGGTTCCGTTACTGAACGAGGGTTTATCCTGCAGATTTCATGCAAATGAAACACTCACCAGAGGCACACCGTTTTCGCTCTAGGCCTTTCTGCTTTAAGTCTCCTTTTTCCCTCACGATTTGGTACCTCCTTTTATCAACGACTGTGCTCTTCTCCATTAAACGCACTGTTTTCCCGTGGTTTTCTGCATAAACAGGCAGTACAACGCTTTTCCCGGCATGTCATAGGTGTCTGAATGTGCCAAGATGTTATAAATTTCTAGTTGTAATTTAAGATACTTGTCACATCATTAAAACATTCATCCTGACATAGTGGCTTTCCTATACCTAATTTCGTTAACTTTGCTTTGTCCACGTACCTAAGTTTCTATTAAAATCTGAGGTCAATCGTACTCACCAACGCATGCCACTCCTTTTATGGCGAATAATCTGAATGAAGGGTTATTTCGAAGTGCTCGTTTTGTGAATGGGTTGCGACGCGCGGTCTCAATGTAGACCGCCTGATGAGTCCAAATGAGGTCGAAAATGCCGTGTATTCCGGAGGGTATCACCCCATTTCTATTATCTGAATTTTTGTCAGCTATGTTTACCAGGTAAAGTACATGATATACGCTCGGACACAAGGGTACCGTTGGTCGGTTATTCCTTATCCATCAAGTATTTTACTAGGACACACACTATGGTCAGCTACTCAAGAACTGACAATCCTGTACGGAATACGAGGTCGTCCCTATATATTGTCAAACCATTTACTAGTGTTACCGTTTCGCAGCTTACTTTTCTTTTGGTAAATTAATGTGATCGCGTTGGTTGTTGCAACTTAATATTCGCACGTCCTTGGTAAATAAGACAATTGCTTGTTTTGTACATGCAATACCTATATCATCGATAAAACCGGTCTTCATCCAACCGTCCAATTGGTTTTGTATTACTGAGCAGAGCCAACTGGGAAAGTTCAAATTAACATACATTTCAATGGAAGTAGGTATGGCGGTTACTTAGTAAACTTTCAGAATGGAACGAGGGGAATCATTTAGTGCCATGCGGACTACCGTATTTAGTGCCTAAGCAAGCTGTTCTTGTTCGCACCTTGGAATCCATCCCCATCGATGCTTGCTGTTTTTCCGAAACGCGCTTACAAGATCCAGTACTCGGATTGAGTTGAGACCTCCCCCGACAATGGAGCCATATTTCATCTACGTCTATCTGGTGACACAGAAGCAGCTGCGGCATGTTTGGCTAGCATTGATGTAGCACTGAGTAGCATAGTCCAGGCCGCACTACTAGACTGGTTCCCGATTAAAAACCGACTGTGTGCAGTGCGGCTTCCGGGATAATGTAAGGTAAACAAAAATAGTGCCGACAGACGCAAATTATTTGTGACTTCAGCTTATACTTCAACTGACTACAGTCCCGACTCGGTCAATGACGATTTCTACCGTGAACTTCACCAGCTATTGGGCAGAGCTTGAAAACTCCACATTGTTGTTCTTGCTGAGGATCACACAACACGAGTCAGTCGTCTATCGACATGCGCAAGTCACCTTGGCTGTCATCATACACTCGCTAAGAGCCGCTTGGATAATGGGAGAGACTACTTAAATTGTACGAAGACAACAGTTTATTTCTCTCGAGTACCATCCTTCGGCATTCGAGGAGACGTTCTGCAAATTGGCGACCCCCTCTGTGTCGTAATGATGGTCTCAGATTGATCACATCGCAATCAGTTTCAGATGGTG